GAAGGGGCCGCGCTGGCCCGTGGGCACTTGGCACGCTCAGCTTCACTAGACATCAGCGTGGTCTCCAGAGCGCTCTAATGGACACTCCTCCATCAGATGGCCCAGCTTTCTTGTAGCAGAGGCAGGGCCTTGAGGGATGACCAAGGACCAGTCAGTTTAGACAGGCGGGACAGCACAGGTGTGGAGATGGGCAGCCTCGGGGCCACTAGGGGTGGGCTGGGCACTCCTGCAGGGCCAGAGTGGGAGTTGGAGAGCTGGGAGAGGTGGGCGGGTTGGTGGGGTCCAGGGAGGTGTGGGGATGCCCCGGCACTCACTGCGGGGTTTAGTTTGGTTGGCTCAGCTTACAATGTGACAAGCAGGTGGGAAGCAGAGAGCTGGCCTGGATTCTAAACGCCCTGGCGCAGTGGCGGGGGCCTCATCTGGAGGTGGGCTCTGCCCCAGCTGCTCCGTGCCCCTGGGCAAAGCACTGCCCTCTTTGGCCTCAGTCTCCTTTCTCTCAGTCCAGCTTGGGCCAGGAGGTTTCTGAGGTCCCTACCGCCCGTGTGCTCAAATGTTCTTAGCAAGTGGCTGTGGCTTCCTGCCTCTTGCCCCGCGAGTGGAGGCACTGGCCTGGTGGGCAGTGAGGCATGAAGCAGGCACCAGACAGCTGGGGGCTCACCAGGGGGCTGGGGGCTCGCCAGGGGTGTGGAGTGAGGGGCCTGCCAAAGGGGACCCAGGAGGGTGTCAGGGGCCGTGGGGAACCCCAGACTCCCCCACGCCCCCTCCCTTCTTATGAGCCTGCGCCTGGAGCCTGGGGGCAGTGGAGGGTTCCATCCTCTGCCCAGAGTTAGGGAGTGGGCTCCTTGCTACTCAGGTTTAATTCGGTTATGTGACTATCAGTGTGGACTCATGGATTCTTATTTTATCCAATGAGAGAGACTGTGGGGGAAAGGAGTAGGTGCGGAGAAGTGCCCCCTCCCTGGGGGAGAGGCTTGGAGAGGGCGTCCCAGGGAGTGTTAGCCACCATCCCCACAGTGACAGAGCTGCAGCGGCAGGGCCTGGATCTGGGAGGGCTGGTGGGCTTGGTGTGCGACTAGGGGTCTTTCTAGGGGTGGGAGGGGCTGCACAAGATGGGCGTTAACAGAGACCCAGTGCCCAGGCCTTCCCTTTCTCTGCCCGAGAGAGGCTCTGGGTGCAGCCCCGGCTTATAGTTCCACTCACTGGCTGTGTGACCTCTGTCAGGCCACTTAGCACCTCTGAGCCTCAGTTTCCTCATCTGTAAGATGGGGCTATTAGCACCTGCCCCCAGGTGTGTGAGGGTTCATTGAGCGCCAGGCATGCAGTGGGTGCTCAGTAAACGCTGGGTCCTCTCGGGCCATTCCAGTCCTCTCTGGCCGTGGCAGGGGGCCAGGAGGGCAGTTGAGGCAGACGCTGTGCCACTCACTCTTGGGAGCTTGTGTCACCCCAGGAGAGCCCCTGGTGAGTGCTCTGGGGTCCCCCAGCAGCGATGCTGACCATCGGGCAGGGATGCAAAGGGGCCCCGTGGGCACTTGGTTTCTCACCCTGGGGACAGTGACACCAGGGTGGGCGCTTACTCCAGGGCAGGCGCTGAGCCCAGACATGCCCATGCTCACGGGCCCCCGATGCTCCCAGAGCCCAACCCTTTCCCCATGTGGCCTCAGTCATGACACACTGGACTGGCTGAAGGGGTGGCCGCGGGAGCCAGACGGCCTGCCTTCAAACCCCCGCTCTGCCCCTATCTGCGTGACCTTGGGAAAGCCACTTAAACTCCTGGTGCCTCAGTTTCCTCATCTCTATATTGGAGCCATACTGATAATACTGACCTCAGATGAGTGAATCCATGTAAAATTTGCAGAATAATATTCAACATGCATTGGACGCTCCATCAATGTTCATTAGTGTTATTGAGCTCTGCATAAACCCCCAACTCCCCTCCAGCCCCCCCACCTTGTGGTTGTAAGAATATCACATGCTGGGGCTGGCCCGGTGGCGTAGTGGTTGAGTGTGCGTGCTCTGCTTCGGCGTCCCAGGGTTCGCAGGCTCAGATCCCGGGCGTGGACCGACGCACGGCTTGTCAAGCCATGCTGTGGTGGCGTCCCATATAAAGTAGAGGAAGATGGGCATGGATGTTAGCCCAGGGC